GGGGATCAGGGATCAGAAGTCAGGGGATTAGAGGGGGGCCACAAGAGCACAGGTGAGACCTCTGTGGCAGTGACTGCCATCTGGAGGTCCCCCCACTTCCCCGCGTTCCCTTGACACTCACTGGATGGGGTGAGCCGTGCCGGTGTCGAATGCGGCCTGCAGGCCTCGGGTTCCTGAAGCAAAGAGGTAGAGGGAAGGGGCTAGCGGCCCCCTGGGCCCCGCTGGCCACAGCCACGAGGGGCTCATCGGGCAGAGAACCCAGTGGAAAAGACGACCAGTTTTCAGGATTAATCAGGTCCCCTTGGGAGGGAGAAGGGGGCACATCTGGATCCACAGAGATAAGCGATCTCTCTACCTATCCATGGCCCTGAGACCCCCCCACCTCCTGCCTGACTGTCTACCTCCGTGGTTCCCCTCCACCCACCACCCTCTCCAGCCAGGAGCAGCCCCCAGCCCCCCTTACCTGGGCCACACTTAACTTTTCGAGGGGGCTATCCATGGTGGGGGCTTGGCTCAGGTCCTCCCAAGGAGAGAGCCTTCGGCCAGAGGGTGGCCGGCTCTGGAAGTTGTGCACGACACAGGTGACCTGTGACAGAGGGAGAAGGGTGGGCTGAGGTCTGAGGCTAATAAGGTAATTACCATCCCCAGTTTTCAGACAGGGAAACTGAGGCTCAGGTTTTCAAAAACAGCACTTTAATGGTGCTTACTATGTGCAGAACCCTGTTATTCCCACTTTGCTAAGGATAGATACTATTATTATTTATTCCACAAGGGTGGGGATAAGCAAGGCCAAGTCGTGTACCAGCAGGATCTGATCCTGCCCTCATTTGAATCTTTGATGTTTTGGACATTATGGGCTTTTGCATTAATTTTTAAAAATGCTTCATTTAAATAATATTTATCTTGATTATTGAGTGTTTTGGCACTCTTAGGTTCTGTACTCAAGTGAGGGCCTCACTCGCCTTATCCTGGTCCCAGTGCCGTTATCTCATTTGACAGATGAGAATGTCCAAGCTAGGTAAGGTTAAGGGACTAGCCCAAGGTCACACAGAGTCCACACCCTTCACCATCATATGGTCCTGCCTCTTGGGACAAGGACAGATGTTAAGAGGCTCACCAGAAAGGTGGCGATCGCCGCCCCGGTCAGGAAGCCGGCCAGCACGTCGGACCAGTGGTTGCGATATTCGGCCACGCGGACCACGCCCACCAGGAAGGCGGGGCACAGCAGGGCCAGGCAGAGTGAGGGTTTGACCAGGCGGGAGCCCTTCACACGGAACACAAGTGTCACGTACATCTGCAAAAGCCAGATGGGTCAGAGGACACACGGCAGTGGCAGTCGCCAAACTCAACCGAACACTGCGTTCGAGGCTAGGGGGCATGGCCAGAATCCTGAGGAGCCGCTGGAGGCTCTGGCTAGGGGCTCCAGGGAACAGAGCCAGGGGTACAGGGGTTCAGGGAGTGGAGTCATGGACCCCCAGTGGGCCCTTGCAGGGATGGGGTTGTGACCAGAGCATTAAAGAGCAGTGGCTAGGGGCTCAAGTCTCTGGAGGACCAGTCCCAGATGGGGAAAGATGCATACTGGGTTGGGGTGTGGCCACAGAACCAGAGGGTGGAGTCAGGGCCCAAGAGGCAGGTCCAGGAGCTCCAGGAGGTGGTCCCCAAACCCCTGGGGACCATAGGGTTAGAAGCATAATCCCCAACGCTAGAAAAAGGAGTCAAAGCAACAGGGGGTGCGACCAGGGAAATGCAAGGGACAAAGTCAGGAAGTTCCAGCAAAATCAAGTCAGGTGCATGGCCAGATCAATAAAGGGCAAGGACAAAGTGGATGACAAGAGATCCAGGGAATGGAGTTGAAAGCTCACTACCCAGTCACCCAGTAAATATCCAGGACCTATAGCATCGAGGGGACATAACTTGGCGTCAGGAGATGGAGTCCTGCGCTCCAGGCCCTGTGGTCCAAAGAACCAATAACCGCCTTCAGGCATGCCACTACTAGGTCAGGAGGCGTGGCCAGATACCAAGTGATGCAGTCAAGACTACAGCCAGACTCAAGCTAGGGGCATGGCCAGCGGGTGAGGGGAGGAGTCAGAGCCTGAGCTGAGTAGATTCCACCCCAGGGGCGGTGTCACAGCCACGAGGCATGGCCTCAACCCTGTAGGCTCTAGCCCTGAGGGTCCACTGCCCGCTGGCCGCCCCGTACAACCCTGCCCCCATTTCGGGGCTCACCGCTGTGTAGGTGACGGCGTAGGCGCAAAGGGCAGCGTCCTTGCAAGGGAAAGCTCGGCGCGCAGCGGCCACCAGGCTGGGGCTGCCCGCGCAGGCGCCTTGGTCAGTGACGAAACGGTCGGGCCCTGGTCGGTCCGGTGACGGTGGCAGACAGCCCAGGGCCGTGTAGTTGGGGCGGCACACGGACAGGAAGTGCGGCGTGGGGTTGCCGGTCACCACCTGCCCCGCATTGGCGAAGATGGTTGTGGTGAAGAGACCGAAAGAGTAGACCCCTGCAATCGGATGGGAGAAGGGGTTCATGCCAGGGCCCTGATGCCCCAGTGGCTGTCCTCCTGTGAGTCCTCTATGGCTCATCTGGGCCCCTGTCTCCTTGTTCCTATGCCTGCCATTAAGGCACACCTGGGACTTCCCCTAACACCATACTCCATAATAGTGGAGCCATGTTCCTCTTCCCTTGGGACCACCATGATGGCACTCTGGGCCTCTAGCCTCTGTCCCTCTGGGATTACCACTATGTTAGGAGGGGACCCTCCTCTGGAACCCATTATAGCTGGGCTGGGACCCCTTAGTAGCATTACATCAGGACTGGACCCATGCCTGGGGCCTCCTAGGACCACACTGATGGCAATTCTGGGCCTACAATACCTGTCCCTGGACTCGCTTTTGATTGCTGAATTGATCAGTTTTCTCCTGGATCATCAATCAGCCAGAGCTGAGTCTCCAGCACTTTGCCACAAGGACCACTACTTTGGACAAGCTCTGCCCTTCTGCTACCCCAAGTCCACCAATTGTGGCTGGGACCAAATTCATAGCACAGCCAGGGCCCTCATCACCCTGCCCCTGTGGCCCCCTGGCATTTGTCCTGTGTCTTTTCTGCCTGAGACTCTCCTTGTGGCAATTTGGGGCCCTCCTCTTATAGGTGCCAGCATGGCTTGCTTAGACCCCCCCCCACCATGTCCCTAGAACCTCCACTATGTCTAACTCTTTTGCCACATGAAGTCACTATCATGGCAGTTCAAGGCCCTCTTCCCCCTGGAATTCTTATGATGGCTGAGCCTGGCCCATATGCCTTCATGTAGCTGACCCCTGGCCCAGTCACTCACCCAGAAAGCGGACCAGCCTCCGCAGCGGGGGGCTAAAGCGGCAGCAGGCCCCGGACACGATGGTGCTCTCCCCAATGATAGGGATGGCTGAGGGCGGTGTGGGGAAAAAGGCACGCGCCAGCTCCCCCAGCAGGATCTGTGGGCAAGACCAAGGTGTTGGGTTGAAGGGTGTCTTCCTGGCCTTCAAGCCCAGCCCCCCATCCACCTCCACCTGGCCCTCCTGCCTCCTGGAAGGCCCTCCCCACAGTCCAGGCCAGGCTACCCCAAGTCTCACTGTAAGTGTGGGCCCAGCGGTGACCAGCGCGTAGACCAGTGCCGGAGGCACTCTGCTGGCAGCCTCAGGTCCCGGGTAGGGCTTGGCGTATGTACTGTCATAGCAGAAGAAGCCCTGGGTGTGCACTGGGAAGGTGTCCGTGAACTCCAGGCGGTAAGCAAGCAGGACCACGATGCCCAGCAGCACCGACTGTTGCCCAGCCAGGGCAGGGAGAGAGATGGAGAAAGGAGAGAGAGGGTCAGGCCTGAGGTGGGCCACGGAGATGGAGACACAGAGATGGAGACAAGAGACAAGAAGGAGAGAGACAAGGAAAGATGAAGAGGAGAGAGGAGATGGGACTAGAGAGAGGGAGAGAGAACAGGGCCAGTGCTCAGAGAGACAGTGGGTGTTGGAGGGACTGACTAATAGAGAAAGAACGAATACTACTGATGTAAGCACTAGCAGCCTTAACGCTTCTTGTGGGCAGGGCATCATACCAAACCTCTTCCATGAATTAATACATTTTACTTTCATAGTAGCCCCAGGAGAGAGGGACTCAAATTATGCCCATTTGACAGATGAGGAAACTGAGGCTCAGGAGGGTATATGAGGTGCCCAGAGTCCCACTGTAAAGATGGGCAGAGCTGGATTGGAAGACCGGGTGCACCACTTCTGAAGGTGCCCTTGAGGTTCTGGTGGGGAGGTACCAGCGCGTGATCCTCACCTCCACGAAGACAAAGCAGGGAATAATGGAGAAGCTCCTCTTCAGCTGAGGTCTCCCTCCCGCCATGGTTAAGGCTGGGCCTGTGGAGATGGGAAGGGAGTGGGGCCGCCAGGGCAGGGCCTGGGGGAGGCTCACGTCCCTTGCTCAGGAAGTCCTCTGGCCACACCCTGGCCCCCATCCCTGGAGCTATAGCTGAGGAGCCTGGCTCCGCCCCCTGAGGCTTCTGGCCACGCCCCTGCAATCCAGGTCTTGCCCCCACCCTTGCTCATTGGAGGCAGGGGTCTCCCCTGACATGACCTGCTCAGCTCAGCCTCTGCTGGGGACCCCACAGGTAGTATCGTGGTCTTCTTCCCCCACAGCCTACATAGGAGGGTCACAGCCCCACACCTTTTAGGAGGGCACATCCTCCTTAGCTTGCGGGACCCCTCCCTTCAGTCTTTAGCAGAGACTTCTCCAGCTTAGTGGGAACCCCCGTAACAAAGAAGGGTCCATTTAGAAGGGTCCTCAGCCTCACTAGTTTTCAGGAGACCCCATCCTCTTTCCCTACATGCTTTACATGAGACCCATACTCCCTGTTCCCCACCTCCACCAGGCCCCTCCCCTGAGCTCCTTCCCCCATGGCCCACAGAGTCCTCTCTCTCCTGTCCCCATGGGCTGTGCCTGACTGGTTTGGGCTGATGGCCAGGCCCTCCTTCTCTTCCAGATGCCTCTCCCTCCCTCCGTTCTTCCCCCTCCTCCCAGTCTGTCTGCCTCCCTGTATCGCAAGGGGGGGCTATCTCCCCCTCAGTGTTCTCCCTCTCCCCAGTCAAACCTCAGTCCCCAGCACTGAGGGGCCAACACAGCCACACCTGCTTGATCCCTTCTCCCCGCCTGACCTCACCTGTGAAAGGGACCTATGGCTTCCCACAGGCCACTGCTGCCACACCCACAGACTCACAGCCGCTCCTGGTGGCCAGCAGGGCAGAGATAGTCACCCCCATTGCACAGATGTGGAAATGGAGGCCCAGGCAGGCGAGGGTAGGCACTCTGAGTCCAGTGCCCCATCCAGTGGCTTGCTCTGCAGTGTGACATGTGGGGTGAGGGTCATAAGAGATCCCAGATGCCTGAGATGCCCACCTGATCATGGCTCCCTCCCCCTCCCAGAGACACAATCACACACACTGGCTCCCCCAGAGTACACAACTCACCAAGAGTCTCCATCCCAAACATCACACACACACACACACACACACATACCGTGGCAGAGCAGTTGTCCATCCCACCAACAAGGATCAAGGGCCTGCTGGGTTCCAGGCACTGCCCTGGTTACCAGCCTTGTGGTGAACAAGACAGGCTCGCTCATTCAGACAGGTGCCCAACACCCACTACACATATAACTGCACACTCACACACAGCACAGTGTGCACACGGCCTGTCACAAACACCCACACAAATCAAACAATCTCCCCCAACACACTGGGAGTCACTGGGCCACAACAGGAGGTCCTTCACACACCTCACAGCCCCACATACTGCCCCACTGGAGCCCTCACTCCACCACCGTCAGGGACATAGACTCGAGACTGCCAGCACACTTAAGAGCCAGATCAAAAAAAGTCACCACACACAATGGGGGCGTCACAGAACTGGTCACAGTGTCACACCCCCAATTACAACGCACTCAGTGACACACATTAATGGTCTCTCATCCACACTGGTAGTCATAGGAAAGCACCGCTCCATCCACAACCACAGCCACATGGCCACACAAGGGCACATACATGGACCATGGCACAGACTTGCACACAGAGCCACACGAGAAAGGCACATGATCACAGCCACATACTGGAACACAATAACGGCCCCCCACACACCATCCGAAGGAACACACAACAGCGGTCACACAATGACAGTCATATGCACACAACCATACAGAAACCAAGACAGCCACACAATCACTGGAATAGCAGTCACACACTCAAAGGTGGCCACAACCACACACCCACCACACACACACACACACACACACACAATCAGAGTGATACCCACGGACACAGCGGCACAATGACAGCCACAGGAGACACAACCACACAGGCACCCCTGAAGCCGCACAATCAGTCTTACAGCCACACTCTGACACATAACGACAACCACACAATCACCGCCAGCCTCATCGGGGTCCCCTCCCCGTGGTCCCCTCCCCCCAGCCCGGTCCCCAAGCCTCAGCTCGCAGCCTCCCCTCCCCCTCCCAGCGCTGGACCCACAGGAGACCCGACCCACAGGAACCGAACCCTGGCCAGACAGACGGACCACGAGGGTCGGAAGCCCGCAAGAAGGGGTATAGGGGGCACCCCGAGCCCTTACCCCTCACCGGGTCGAGACTGCCTCCGCCTGAGCCCCGGCTCCGCCTAGACGGCCCCGGCGCGGCGGGACGGACTGACAGACAGAGGGCTGGCGAGCGGGCCAACGCAGAGATGGAGATGCTGCCTGCCGGCCCGGCTGAGCCGCGCAGACTCAGCGGCGGGGCGAGGGGCGGGGCCTCCGGGAACATCATTTGCATAACCCGTGGGGCGGGGTCTCGAAGTGTCTCATTAGCGTGATCCGGGGTGGAGCCTCGGTTGTTCTTGGGGGCGGGGCGTGTCAGAATAGATTCAGGAGGGAAGGGAGGTTGGAGGTTGAGAGGGAGGACGCAGGCGAGTGCTGAGAGGAAAAGGAGGGTATGGTGTCAGAGCATGACCTGGGGCCGCGACCCTCCCTCCCTGGGCCTCAATTTCCCCCATTTGGGCAGTAGGGACAGTAGGCCAGATAGTCAGGACACCCCAGAAAGGAAGGCTGGTGGCTTGTGTGGAACACCTATCTGGCCACTCATATCTAAACAGACTGATCCTTGACTTTGCCATATTGTAAATCCAGCCTCACACTGTCCCCTGACCCTAGGCCTACACATCCCACACAGCCCCTGAAGTCTCCACACCCTCCCCAAGACTGGGTAGTAAATTGAGGTGGGGTCACTCTCAGGCACAGGAAACAGCAGGAGCAACAGTCCACAGGTGGAGGAGGGTCTCAGCTAGTTTATTTTCTCTCTGGAGGGGTCTTCGGGAGAGCAGTCCCAGCTGCTCAGGCTGTGGAGAGAGAGGGTGTGTCAGAGCCTGGCCTAGTCCAGGGGACCCCAGGATGGAGGTCAGTGAGCAGACGCCCAGGTTGGGCGCTGGGAGGGTCCATACTGTGGGATTCCAGGGCAGGCCAGGAGGGGAAGGCTGGGGTGAGGCAGGGGAGGATCCACACCAGGTGGGAAGGAGCGGCTCTTGCTGAGCGGTGGCTGGGAAGGGTCCTGGTCTGAGTCTGAGTCTGAGTCCCAGGAGGGGAGTGGAGGGCTCAGGCATCGGTGCCCCTTATAACCTGCAGGAAGGACAGATGCAATTCTGGCATGAACCCTGAACTGGATCCTTGTGTGACCTCTGAATAGGGGCCCAGTGCCCTTGATATTATACTTAATGATCTTTGATCATGACCCTTGAATATGATATAACACCAAAGTATGGCCTTGATGACCCTTGCATTTTACCCCACTGACCCTTAAAAAAGATCATGGTGACCCTGAGAAACCCCTGGATGAAACCTCCAGGAACTAATGCAACCCCAGAATAAGACCCAACAGATGTGACCCCCAAATATGGCCTCTGAACATGATTTTCCTGTGTGAAGTTGGAGAATGACCCTCCCACCCTGGAGCAGTGTGCAACCCCCCTCACCCCTGAGGCTTGCGGCCTTGGGGCGGCCCCCTGAGGATATGGCGAGGCCATCAAAGGAGTTCTGTAGCACGTGCACAGCAGACCTGTGGGGAGATGGGGATCTGGGGGGCCCTGGGAGACTCTAGACTGCTCAGGGCTGAGGTAGGGGGGCTGTGGTGGGGGCAGGGGCAGAGATGAGTCTTGGGAGGAGAGGGAGGAGATCTCGACTTGGGTGGGTTCCAGGTTCTGGTTGTTGCCTCTTGATCTATTGGGAGAAGGGCAGGACAAATGAGGGTCATGGGTCAGAGGTTAGAGTGGGAGCTGGGCATCACCATATGTCACCCAGTTCCTTCTGGAGGTCATCCCTCCAGGAGCCACTGCCTCCTGGTTTCAACTCCTCAGTCTCTGGCCAGTTGGATGTCTCATACCCCTGCTGTTTCATCTTGGTCAGGACCTGAGGCCGGGGGGAATGGGAGAACAGTAGTAATAACAATGATGATGGTGAAAGGTGTAATACAGCATTTATTACGTGCCAGGGTGCCTTAAAGGTGTTTATCACTCAGTTAATGCAACTACTGGGTCAAGTAGGGCTGTGTTGGGGAAACTGAGGCCCAGAGAGGGGAAGTGATTGCCGACAGTCACAGAGCAGTAAGTGACAAAGCTGAGATTTGAACCCAGGCCTTCTGGCTCCAGTCTGATGGTAGAGGCCGACAGAGATCCCCATGCCCCCAACTCATGCAAGGTCCCTGTCCTCTCTGCTCACCTTGCGGCACTTCACCGTGTGTCTTCTGCATCTTTTGGATGTTCACCAGGTTCTGTGTGATTTCCTCTTCCTGTGCCTCTGTGGGGAGAGGGGACTCAGGAGGGCTGGAATTGCAGAAGGACCCCCCTCCCTTGGCCATGGGCTTTGGGCACTCACGAAGCTTCTGATAAATGAAGGTCACCTCCTCTCGCACCAGCTCCAGCTCCTCCCACAGGAACTTCTTGCTGAGGGGACAGTGCAGCCTAGATCCACACTCTCTGTCCCACCCCTGGCTTCCCATTTCCTGGCCCACCTGCCTTCCCAAGGCCTCCTCCATCTCCCATGTCTCCAGGTGTTCAGTCACCATCTCCCAGGCTCTGCTCTCTCCCCCAACATGCCTACCCACCTTTCCCTTCCTGGCTACTATCCCCCACCTCCTAGCCCTCCCCAGCCTCCTGTCTTCTCCTCCTGACCTCCAGCCTCCCACTCCCTCAGCCTCCCATTGCCTGGCTTCTGCCCCTCAGCCTTCCACATCCCCAGCTTCTTCCCCCACAACATCCCCTCCCCTCCCAATTTCCATGCTACACCCCAGCATCTGATCCCCTGGCCTCCCTTCCCATCCACTTCTTGTCTTCCCTTCCTCTGGCCTCCAAGTCTCCCACACACTCCCACTTCCTTCCATCTCTCCATCCCCTCCTCTTGTCCCCCTAGGCTTTCCCTGGCCCCCAAGTCTCCCTTACTCTGGCCCCTCCTACTTTCCCATCCTGCTTGTGGTTCCCTCTCCCTGGCCTCTCTTCCCTCCTGCAGCTTCCAGGCTGCCCTCCTGGCAACACCCACCTGTCCCGGATCTCCTGGGCCAGCAGCTGCAGGCAGCGGGTGGTGCGGGCCCGCTGCACCTCCTCGCTATCACGCAGGCTCTTCTGTAGCCCTTGCAGACCTTGAGCCAGGGCCCCATATAGCTCCTGCCGTCCCTCCTCCAAGTCCCACTTGTGCCCCTCCTTGTCCGTCTGGCGGCTCGTGGGGCCCAGCACCTCTGCAGAGACGGTGGGTACTTAACTGAGCCCCATCCCCACCCCGAGCCCAGTTTTAAACCCAGATTGCCCTAACACTGACCAGACCCCAGCCCTGAACCCAGACTCACCCAACTTCTCTCCCGCTGGCCTGACCCTGACAGGACCAGCAACCTCCAGACTGACCCTGACCCTTGGCCCGTCCTCACCTTCAAGCTGTTGGATCTTGATTTGCTGCAGGCAGCTCTCCTTCTCCAACAAGGTCACTGAGTGGTTTAGGAACTCAAAAGCCTAGGGGAAGAGGTCGGGCAGGTCTGGGGGGCAGGGAGCGCAGTGGAGTTGGGGGGTGGGAAAACAGAGGCAAAGATCGCCAGAGGGGGTGGTTCAAGGTGGCTCACCTTGGTCTGGGCCTGTAACTGGCTCTTGAGTGACTCCAGTTCACATCTCAGAAGCTTCTGGGAGTCGGGGATCATCACAGTGGGCTTAACTGTGAGCAGAGGTGAGGGTCAGCCAGGGCTGGGAGGGGGCAGAGTCAGGGGTAAGGTCAGGGTGGAAGTCAGCAGAGGCTAAGGGTAGGGGTGAGGCAGAGGACAAGGTAAGGAGCTGGGGGAGGCTGAAGCAGAGGTAGAGCCAGGAGTAGGGGTCAAGGTCAGAGGCAAGAGTCAGCTGACAATGGGGCAGGGATGAGCAGGCAGCAATGGTGGGCTTCCACTGAGGTTGTGGCAGAGGGTGGAAGTAGAAACTATCAGGGCTTCCACCCACAGTCTGGTTGGGAGGGAAGGTTCTCACCTTTGGCTTTGGAAGAGCCGGTCTCCAAGGACTTCTAGAGAAGGGGGACATGAGGGCGGTAGAAATTCATCCCTGGGCTGTCTTCCTGCTCACCCCAACTCAGCGTGTGGGAGTTAGACACGATTTGGGTTGGCTGAGTTCTGGGTGTTCCAGACCTCCGAGTGCAGGCAAAGCTGCCTCCAGGCACATGCAAGTACCCATCCACTCACCCACCCCCACCCCCAGCCTGCACATGCTCAGAAGTGCATTTGTGTGACAGGTCAATGGGCTGCCTCTTAGCATGGGTCTTCTGAGCCCTGTCTCTGGCTTGGGCTCAGGTAACGGCCCTCCTCTTTAAGGGCAAACAACATCAACAATGTCTGCAGGGAGCACCAGTAGTACATGATGCACAACGACACACAGTCACGGAAACACAACCGGACACATAGCCTCAGACTCAACCATGCATGAGAAATCCTAAGACCCAAGGCACCCACTCATGTCCATCTCAGACACACAGTCACAACCACAGACACACAGGCAGTCACACCCAGAGACAATCACAGACAGGACCCCATTAAGATACACAATCATGCATCCAGTTTCATTCATTCAAGACATTTTCAGTGCTGCAGCCCTGCTGAGCACTGGGCGCTGTTCTGGGTGCTGAAGACATAGGGTATGAGGGCTCTTGAAGTGGACTCTCTGCCCCCACAACCCCCTCCCTAAGTCCCGCAGGGGTAAATTGCAGTGTGGCAGGAAGGGGTTTCCCCGGTGAGAATGACCTTAGCGTTGCTGTGATGCCTCTTTGGAAGGTCCTGGTCATTACAGTGCTCCTGTGATTCTGAGTAGGGGAGTGGGGGAGACCCATTTGACTGAGGCCCCGGATCCCTCCCTGGCCTCCAGTCTCCAATTGTGGCTGTGTTCTCAGATGCAGGGGGCTCCAAGGTCTCTGGTTCTAGGGTCCTGGACCAGTGAAAAGTATATTCCAAGGTCTTGTCTGAGGAAGAGCCTGAGAGGAGGGTGCAGAGTGAGGATTTCCTGAGGGCCAGCCCAGAGTGCTCCAGCCCATCCTGCTCCCCAGCCCCAGGGGCAGCCTCTCAACGAACCCCAGCACTTGTCACACTTCTTGTTAGCAGGCAAACACTCGTTGGAGGGTGAGGGATGTGAGCAATAGCAAGGCACGGAGTAGTCAGGGTCCAGGGGTAGGCCGGCCAGAAGAGGGTTGCTTTGAGGAGAGGGGATAGAGGGGGCTGCACTGAGACTAGCTCCCAGGTCCTGACTCCCAGACCCTCCCTGACATCCCAGAGATGCCTCAGCCTTGAACACAGGGCCTCTTAGTTATGGTAGGAGCCAAATCTGGGTGAAAGATGATCCCAGCCCCAGGAGTTGGGCTGGGTGGTGAGAAGGGATCCAGAGAGGGGGACCCAGAAGACCCCACAGGAGGAAGTGAGGCTTGAGAAGAGCCTAAAAGAAAAAAATTCTCAACATTGGGCCCTAAAGGAAGGACATCCCTGGCAGGAAACAGCGTGTGCAAAAGCTTGGAGACCTGGAACCATGTTCTCTGTGCTGACAAATTCAGGGTGGCTGGAGGCAGGGTCCAGGAGGAAGGAACAGGAGGTTAGCAAGGCAGCTCAAGTAATGTATGGGAAGCCAAGAAGGGGAGTTTCAAACTGGCTCCCCAGGTAAATGGAAGTCATTGAACATGAGCAGGAGAAGCAAAGGGTATCTATTCAATAAATGTTAGCTGAACTGGGGCCCAGGCCTGCACTAGGTGAGGCTGGGAACAGGGAAGAACTCAGCTCTAGGTCTCACAACCACACCCCCTGCCCTACCAGTGTAGTCATGGCTGGCACAGCTGAAGAAACCTGGGGCAGGTCTGTCTGGAAAAACTTCCAGGTGAAGGGCATCTTGCCACAAGTCACGTTCAGCCAGAAGGCCACACTACAGGCCTTTCTCTTTTTCTGTCCTTGCTGGGCCCTCTGGTGTCTTTCCCCTGGCCAAGTCCTCCTGAAAGACTCCTATACACCTTTCAAAACCCTACTCAGCATCTCCTCTGTAAAATCTTTCTTAACTCTTTTATGTTCGTATTTTCTGAGCATCTTACTGAGTGCTGGGCACTACCCTAAGCCCTCGCTGGGTCTTCACACTCACCCTGTGATGTAGGAGTTACCATTCTGCCTGATATGTTCTAAGCTACCCCTTTAAGAGTTACTTCCTCAGGGATGTCCTCACTTCCAGAGGCAGTACAGCATGATAATTAAGCAAGGAGACCCTCCAGCTTGATGGCCTGGTTTCAAATCCTAGCTCTGCCCCCTTCTCAGCTGTGTGATGTTAGATGTGTTACTAAACCTCTCCGTGCCTCAATGTCACCAACTATAAAATGGGATGTCATACTATCCACCTTACTGCGTTGTTGTGATTAAGTAAATTAATCCATGCCAGCGCCTGATATGGTAGTAGGAAGCTCAATGTTTGTCCTTGAATGTCACACTGAGAACCTGGGACCTGGGGATCATAGAAGCCCTAGGGGACTTGGAGGGGAAAAGGCAAAATGCATTTCTGAGTAACAATTGCAGGCAGGTCCCCAGTCGAGCCCCCCTCCCTCCCACAACAGCTGTTTCTCCCTCAGTCCTTCAGGTTAGAATTCGGGGGAGGGGGCGGGGTCATTTGTCTGGGCCCCGCCCCCCCGGGCCTTGAATCCTGGTCCCGCCAGGATCCCGACCCCTTCCACCCCCACCTACCACATACCACCTGCTCATGCTCTCCCATCGGGGATTGTGAATCCAGTCCCCAGCTGTGACGGTGAAATTTGGTCCTGTGGGGACACCATCGCATTAAAACGCGCGGAGCCCAAAGGTAGAGTCACAGAGAGGGGTGTGGCTGGCATTTTAGCTCCGCCCCCGCCGATGCAGCCGAAGGCCTCATTGGCGCCTTCTGGCTTCCGCAGCTCTAGGAGCGGCGGTGTAATTGGATAAAAGCCCAACGAGGGGGCGGGATTCCAGGCTGGTTTTTGTTAATCGATTAGTCGATATCTAAGAAGACTGTACAGGAGGCTGCAGATCTCCGATCTGATTGGCTTCAGGCTTAGCGGGGAGGCGGGACGAATTCTTGTTTCCAAGAGGGGAGGTGGCCGAGAAGGTCCGCGTTCCAACCGGGAGCGCGGGAGTGAGGTACCGAGCCCAGTCGGCCAGGTCCCCGAGATCCGGCCCCGGAGCCTCTGGTCTTGGACCCTTGAATGCTCACGGTCGAAGTCCGGGTCCAGTGGTGGAATCGGTGTCCTCGGGATGAGATTTGGGGTTCCCTAGGATTAGATGGCGCCTCCGGAGGGTGCTTTGGGGATCTTCAAAGTGATGTCTGGGATCCTGCTACGAGAGGAGGGCTATCTGCTGTTAGAACTGGGTCCCTGGGGTGATATTTGGGAGTCACTGGTGGGGGTGATCTCTGAAGACCTAGGGCTCCGATCTTGAGCTGCTGGGGCTGAAATTTGGGGGTCTCGGAGGTGGCTTGGTTGTTGGGGACCAGAGAGCCTTAAGATCTTGAGGGCTGACATTTGGAGAGATGGGGTCTGGGGATGTCGTAGGACTGCCTTGGGCCTCTCCGCCACCCCTATTCCTGGGCTTCTACCTCTGAAACTGTGTTAGATTGGCTGTGACCCTCTCACAGGGTCTAAAGGCCACAGGACAAAGGTAAAACTCTGACCCACACGGTGCTTCCTTCCCAGGCCAGCAAGATGGAGGAAAGCGGGGACCCAGGAAGCCTGACTAAGGTGGTCCATCTACTGGTCTTGTCAGGGGCCTGGGGCATGCAAGTGTGGGTGACTTTTGTCTCAGGTAGGGACCCTCGGCCTGGACACGAGTATCCAGGGTGGGGACAGGGATGTGAGGGGGAACCTGGAAATGTCCTAACAGGCATGTGGTCCCCTGTGTCCCACAGGCTTCCTGCTTTTCCGTGGCCTTCCCCGACATACCTTTGGCCTCGTGCAGAGCAAACTCTTCCCTTTCTACTTTCACATCTCCATGAGTTGTGCCTTCGTCAACCTTTGCATCTTGGCATCACAGCACACCTGGGCTCAGCTCACGTTCTGGGAGACCAGCCAGGTATGTGGGCTTGGGCTTCACTACCCTCTGGAGAGTCATTCCCAGGACCCAACTGAGCACCTATGGCTATACCTTTAGGAGAATTAAAACAAAACCCGAAAAACTGCCTCTCCTTCCCGGTGGATACAAAGCTGGGCTCTGGATACCCTTGAGCAATGCGCATCCTGCACAATGATCCCCAGCAGCCCCATTTATTCCCCAGTGTCTCTCCTGGCTGTTGCTCCCTCTCCTCCCCCTAGCTGGGCCTGCAGCCAAGCTGCGGTGACTCAGCTGGGTCAGGGCACTGACCCTAGCTCATTGTTTAAAAACCAGCCTGACTGGGAATTTAGAGTCCCCCACCCCCGTCCACACACTTTCCCAGCCACAAGGCAAGGAACCATCTCTGCATCTCATATTTCTTTATCCTGCCTTCCCCCTGCCCCTATTATATTGCTCAGATGTGGGCAGTTGAGGCCTGACAGGGGGTTCATTAATCCTACACAGGAGGGATTATGGGTGACTGGAACTTCGAGGACATTTAATTCACTCCCTTGTGGGCCCAAAGTCAGCTTCTGGGGTTTAGACTGGGGCCACAGAGGAGATGGGGAATGAGGGGACAGTTATGGTGCTCTGTCCCTACTTGGAAAAGAGAGGTTCTGCCCTGAGATACCCTCAGTTTGGGGGAACAGAAGTCAGGAAATAGGCTGTGTTCTAGAAACTTCCAGTCTGGGTATCAGAGGAGAGGAGGTTCAGAAGATTTGGGGGAGAGGAGACAGCAATGGAGCCTTTCCTCGGGACCTGCTGGTTTCACGGTATGAGTGCTGGAGCTCTGTTTGGGGCTGCTAGTCTGGGTTTGGGTGGGGAGGTAGGAGGCCTGGCTTTGACCCAATGCTGTCCCCTCTGGGCTTTGAGGATGCAGAATGACCCTCCTTAAGTTCCCTCCTGCCTCTCAGGCATGGCTCATCTTGTCCTCCCTCCACCCCACCAGCTCTGCCTGCTACTCCTGAGTCTCACACTGGCCACCATCAACGCCCGCTGGCTGGAGCCCCACACCACGGCCGCCATGTGGTCCCTGCAGAAAGTGGAGAAGGAGCGGGGCCTGGGCGGGGAGGTGGCTGGCAGCCACCAGGGCTCTGATCCCTACCGCCAGCTGCGGGAACAGGACCCCATGTACAGTGCCCTCCGCCAGATCTTTTTCCGCTACCATGGCCTGTCCTCCATCTGCAATCTGGGCTGCCTCCTTTGCAATGGGCTCCACCTCGCAGGCCTCGCCCTGAGCCTCAGGAGCCTCTAGTACCCACTGACTCTTTGTCTCTGCTGGGGCCCCAAGTGTCAATAAATGCTTCTTTGGAAATGACTGCTGTCATTTTGTTCCAACTGGGAAGCAGCGGGGAGGGGCAGTCAAGGGTAGAGCTGAGGGCTTCTGCTTCTGGATTCATGTGGCACAGTGATTTGCAACGTTAGCTGTTGCCGCCCCTCAACTCTTCCTATAACGGTGCCCACTTGTTGAACACCCACTGTGTGCCAGGCGTGGCGCTACCCATTGCATGTACCACCCATTACTGTGACAACAGCTGGTTCTGATCCCTAGAGGACAAGCGTATTTCCCACCCCATTGACATTGGGGGTGGCCATGTGACTTGCTTTGGCCAATGAAATATAAGCAGAGTCACTTCCAAAGAGAAGTATGCAAGCCAGTGCATGACTTGCCACATCATCCCTTCACTGCAATGAGCAGTGTGAGTGAGAAGCAAACCTTGGGGGTTGGCTGCTGTGGAGGCTGTAGGGCTGCTTGTTACTGAGCATATGCCAGCCCTTCCTGACTGGTGCAAGTCATCTCAGTTCATCCACAGCAGCCCTTGGAGGCAGCTAGTGTTCCCATGAAGGAATGGGGGCTCAGAGAAGTTCAGCAAGTGGCTTCAGGTGGAGTCATTGGGATTTGAACCCTACCGAAGCCTGAAGTATTATAACTGCAGATCCTCTCCTGCTGGCTTGAAGAAAAGTCTGAGACGTCAGCTGAGCCTGGATGCCAAATTTCCTTATCATGTGGCCTCAAGCAGGAGGCTGCCCCTCTCTGATCCCCAGTTTATCTGTTAAGGGATGTTAATTCTAAGGGCCCTTAAGAGTATTTAGAAAGGGGGGGTCTAGCCCACTTTAGGGCCAGGCGCTGCACTTGACAAATACTAACTCAGATCGGAACGTTCACACAACCCTATAAGGTGGGTGCTCTTGTTATGGACCACGTGACGGATGGGGAAAATGAGACCCAGAGAGGTTAACATGTCCAAAGCGACAGGGCTGGAAAGGGGTAGAGCCGGGACTGGAAACAGGCTCCAGAGTCCGCGCTCTTAGCAGCTGTGGACACAAGTAGAAGTTCTAAGTATGGTTTAGTTAAAATGAAATGTTTATTGTTGAGGGACGGATTTTCGACAGCTGCGCACGCGGTGCTGCTTCCAGCCCCTCCCCCGCTCTCCACAAGCCCCGCCCCGCCCTCAGCCGGGAGCGGCCCCTCCTACCCCCGCCTGGGCGGAGCCGGCGCGGGATCCGGGTGGCTGCGGGCGGCGGCGGCGGCGGCTGCGGGGTCGGGGTCGCAACCGGGGCCAGGCCGCAGCGAGTTTGGAGGCAGAACCCCCGCGGGCAGCACCCCCCACGCGAGGTGACCCCTTCGGAGGGAGCGCAACCAGACCCACACCTCCGCGTCCCAGCAGGTCTTGGGGCAACAGGGGCTTAGGGGGAGGGCCCGGGGCCTGGGAACAAAGGCAGGCGGCGGGGGACGCCTCTTCCCTCGCCCCCACCCAGCTGGGCTCATCGGGGAGCCTTAATGGGGCGCGGGCGGGGCAGACAGCCCAGATGGGGACTTGAGATGGGACCATATGGTGATGGGAGGAAGCTCCTGCACTCTCCTGCACTGGCTGGGGCGCCCCACATCTAGTGATGGGGGACAAGGCTGAGCCCTCCGGGTTTCTCACCTAGTGCCGGGCGTGAGGGAGGGTCCGCAGATGATCAAAAAGAAGTGGGACCAGAGGCCAAACAGGTGGGCTGGGGCTGCAGGTGGGGTGGGGTGGGGCGGGGCGGGGGACCTACTCTGGCGGCCCTGCTTGGCATGGGGAAAGTCTTCCTGCCTCTTCTCTTCCCCTCCTGAAACTCGTTCTCCCGGAACATGGGGTGGGGCAGAGGGCTGGGCAGGAAAGGGGAGGCCGGTTGGGTCCTCCTTTAAAATGGAAAAAAAGCCACACGGGCAATTGAGAAATGACTTTACCAGGGGTTCCTCTGCCGATTGCCCATTCACCTAGGCCTTCTGGAGCCTCTCTGAGAGGCTCAGGGAGTAGCCATAAACTGCTGGGGGAAACTGAGGCCAAGGGACGCAATGAGGGCTGAGGGGATATGCTGGACCAAGATGAAGCAGCCCAGCTGTGGAGACAGGTGGCCGGGAAAGGCAGGGGACCAGGTGGTCGTGGTGGCCGCTGGGGTGGTTTCCTTGGATTTGGGGACCGTCGCTCTGGCCTCCATGGGCTGGAGCTGGGGTGAGTCAGCCCTACCAGGAGGGAGATGGGCCTGGCCCTTTTGACAAACAGAAGATGGCAGTACCTACTGGGGGGTAGAGCTGGGCTTTAAACCTGGGCTGTATCCACTGAAACCCCCCTCCCTGTGGGGGTCATGGAAGGGGTTAAACATGGCTTAGGTAGGAGCAGGCAGGTGGCCAACACCTGCCAAAGTCAACACCCAGGCCCTGAGGTGGGGGGGGCTCTATCCAGCTGGCAGCCCCTCCTCCCTCCAGCTCACACCTGGGCCACGCCGCCGGCTGCTCACCCCGGGGCAAAGTCCACACCTGTACCTTCCACAGGGTCTGTTTCCTCAGCCGCCCTACTGGGCACCCCATGCCTCCTGCCCCAAATCTAGGTCCTTGAATTTGACGAACATCCCCATTGTCCAAAAAAGGACACTGAGGCCCATAGAGAGCAAGTGCTGCATCGAGGGTCACCTGGCTTCCAAGCGACAGAGTCAAGATTTGAGCCCAGGTCCAATGTAGACACTGGAGCCATTCCTGGCATTTTATTTCCCTGCAGGGCTCCAGCCCTCCCCACCTCTGCCCCCTCAGGAGGCTCCCTGTCAAGATGGCATCAGCGGGAGACCCCCCGACGGGCCAGCGGGATGCAGCAGACCAGAACTTTGATTACATGTTCAAGTTGCTGCTCATCGGCAACAGCAGCGTGGGCAAGACGTCCTTCCTGTTCCGCTACGCCGACGACTCCTTCACGCCCGCCTTTGTCAGCACCGTGGGCATCGACTTCAAGGTCAAGACGGTCTACCGCCATGACAAGAGGATCAAGCTGCAGATCTGGGTGGGCCAGGCAGCTGTCTGTGGGTCTGTTGGCCAGGCAGGACCTGGGGTTCCTCATTGGAAGTCCAGGAGACAGTGTCGGGCTGTGGGGATGGGTCCCAGCTGAGGGAGAGTGGCCCAAAGTCAGGGAGGGGGCTTGGGGTAGGTGTGAAGAGTGGTGTTATCTACAAGATGAATTCATCAGGGTGGGGGGGATGTGCCCTGCCCTGTGGGGTCTGAGGGGGAGACAGTACTCACCCAATGTGGGCCATAAGTCCTGGTGACCAATGGGGAAGAGGTTTGGGTACCCTTTCTGGGTAAGCCAGGGGTGCTCCCACTGAGCCTGCCTGCTCTTCAGAGCCATGCTCCTGCTCCCCCCCCCAAAAATCACTCCGGCTACTAGTGGTTGTCATGGTAACGAGCACCAGGCTGTCTGCGTCAAGGTGGCGCTCTGGCCCAGGTGGCTCTTGTTTGTGGTCGTGAAGTTGGTTCTTGGAGATGAGGTCAAAGGGGTTGATAAATCCCTGAGAGGCTACTGACCCCTTAGACTGGGAACCCCTCAAGGTAGGGGTCTGTGTTTCTCCCATCGGACTGGGGCTGTGTCAGGGTCCTGCAGGGGTGAGGTAGGAAACAGAGTGACTTCTAGATGCCTGACCCTACTGTGTGCCCAGGACACGGCCGGCCAGGAGCGCTACCGTACAATCACCACAGCGTACTACCGCGGAGCCATGGGCTTCCTGCTCATGTATGATGTTGCCAACCAGGAGTCCTTTGCCGCCGTGCAGGACTGGTGAGTGCTTGCTGACCCCTCCCGACCATTGCCCTCTCCCCCTGACCCTAATCTCTGGCTTAACAGCCCTCAAACTCCACAGGGCCACACAGATCAAGACCTACTCCTGGGACAATGCTCAGGTCATCCTCGTGGGGAACAAGTGTGACCTGGAGGACGAGCGTGTGGTGCCCACTGAGGAGGGCCGGAGGCTCGCCGATGACCTTGGTTAGTGCCCCGCCTGGGCCACAGGCCCTGGACCTCCCAGAACAAAACCCCCATCCCTGTGCTCAAGTCCCAGATCCTACCACAGTCCTCAACCCTTTGCCCTTTGAAGATCTGCCCAGAAGAGTACCCACATGTATGTCACCTTCTCCATTTAATTTCAGAGGATTCACCCACAGGTACTCCTTACTTCCCCACTGCCCTGGGAACCCAGACTCAGCAAAACCATTTCTGGAAATTTATCCTACAAACATCTGCACCTATGTGGGAAGTGGCAAGTATATCAAATTATAGTACTGTTAGTAGTAGAAAACCTTGACAACTTCCCAAATATCTCACAGTGGAGAAGACAGCTACACATGAAGTATAGTGCTGTGGTGGAATATTACGCAGCTGTTAAAAAGGATAAGGACATTCTTTATGTTCAGGGGTCCCTGTGGTATATGGTTAAATGGAATAAGCAAACTGCAGAATAGTGGTTATGGCCACTTCCTTTAAGTCCAGGGATCAGCAAACTTTTTTTTTTAGCAAACATTTTCTTAATGGGTCAGGAAGGAAATATTTTCAGCCCTAGGATCTTTGTCATAACCACTCAGCTCTGCCTGAAAGCAGCCATAGATAATACGTCAGTGACTGAGGGTGACTATCTGCCAGTAACTTTATTTACAAAAATGGGCAACAGGCCAGACTTGGCCTGTGGCTCAAAGTCTGCCAACTCCTACATTAGCCTATAAAGTGGGTGAGAAGAAGGATGTATACTTAGGTTTGCTGAAAGGAACTCCAGGAGGATACAGAAACAGTGGTGAGCTTTGTGTCTGAGAACTAGGAGGCCAGGGCACCTGGGTGGGAGGGGAACTTTTCAGTCCACCTCTCTGAATCAGGTGAATGGATTAGTGATTCAGTTTAAGCTAGAAGAAAATCTTGTCCTGGAGTATCCTAGTATTCTAGGCCCTCCCCAGGACTTCCCTTGCGGGAGGCAGTGTAACCACTACAGGGGAGGGTGGGTTAAGGATCCAGACTCTGGAGCTAGAATCCCCTTGTG